TCCTGTATCAACCATCTCCACACGTACTATAGTCTGCAATGGTTTACTCGGAGAAGCTCATCACAAAATCCGTTGAAACTGGCGATCAATTTCGTCAACGAGTACGTGGCGATACATCTTAGCTACATCGGCAGTTTTAACATAAATATGCAGACGGAAACGTTATACAATATCAAATAGGTCTTGTTGTCTAACAGTTGGTGCTGGACGGCAGTCATCGGCGCATATTGGTTTGGTCATCGTCGTCGTTTCAAGCGGTCGCCATGACCGACGATCAACCAGCCACGCTGTCGAATCCCACCCGTTTGTTAAATACCCTATCAATAGGTCAATACACGTATTTCGTATTTTGATCATTAACTTGTAGTCCAATCTCTTTCCCCTTACATATTATTTTTTCGGCCGTCCGTATTACACCTTCTTCGGTTTCTCCTATAATTATCCGCGTATGCTGATAATGTTATGTGACGAACTTCTCCTATGGTACTCGATACATCATCGAGTACCTTCGACTACATCGTTTTTTCCACGCTTTGACGCCGTTTACTCTTATCTCACATCGTGTGTGTTCGCTCAACTCAGCTTCTCCAGGACCGGCTGACAAACTCATGGACCCACGTAGAAGTGTATTATATATACACTGTCTTAAGCCTGTTTCCACTGTGAAATCTTCAGATTATTCTCCGTTAAACTTAACTTTACATTTAGAGTGTTGCACCCATGCCTTTACCAGTCTCACCAGTTTTGCAGGGTTTCCAAAATCGACAAATAATAGGTACATATCTATGTCGAACTCGTGACTTTTCTCTACTATTTGCTTTATCGTATGTATTCGATCAACTGTCGATTTCCCTGGCATGAATCCTGACTGATGTTCTCCTACTATTTCCTTAGAGTATGTTTAATTCGGTTTAATATTATGTTTGATACTATTTTGTAAAATGTGTTTGGTAGAGATATTCCTCTGTAATTTTGGCAAACCATAAGGTCTCCTTTTTTGTAAGTCGGGCATAACACTGACACGTGCCATTTTGTTGGTATTTCTTCTTGTCTCCATATAATATGTACTAGCCGTTTTAGCTGTACCATTAGGTCTTTTCCTCCTTTTTTCAGGAGTTCTGCAATAATCGCATCTTCTCCTGGCGCCTTCCCATTTTTCAACATATCTACTGTCCGTTATGCTTCTTCTATCGTGGGTTCATCTACCCTCTGTTCAACCGTGCTGTTAAGTTCTTCCGTGTCTATCTCCTGAATTTTCCGACCATCTGTATGAAACCTTTTGATAGAGACGGCTTTCCTTCGCCATTCCACTAACAAACGTAGTTTGATTTTTCCTCTTACAATAAAATTGTCTGATATGGCGCTGCTGCCTCTTAAGCTCCGAACATCCATGATGTATCTCTTGATCCGTCCATCAACTATAACATGGTCTATTTGGTTCTTTATTTGTCCTGATGGGGAAACCCAGGTTTGTTTGTGTATATCTTTATGCGGAAATGTGGTACTACTTACTACCATATTTCTAGTCATAGCAAAATTAACTAATCTTGTACCATTATCGTTTGAGACTCTATGTAGACTCTCTTTCCCAATTGTTGGTCTGTGTATTAATTCTTGTCCTATTTTCGCATAAAAATCCTCCAGTAGGCGCTAAAGATGACAACATTGTTGCCGAAGTACGACGTATTCACGGAGAGTATATAATTTTTATGGTTAAGGGAGGGTTTTTATTATTATTTTGTTACGTATAACCATAAGTGCTCAAGTTTCGTTCTAGATCATTTACTATAATATAATTCTAAGTACACTACTGAATTGAGAATAAAATTCTAGTCCAAAATGATGTGTTACATGCCATATGTTAATTTTGGTCACATGCCGGTCACTCAGTGGTCACTCGATGACCACCCTGTGGTGACGTATGTGTGGCCAGATAAGAAAAAATCATGTTACATATCAATTCAACAACAGTGTTCTACAGATTTCAAATCTGAAATTATTTTTTTCGTTAGACAATTTTTAAATGAGATACGAGTTCTATTTTAGAACATTTTAGAATTGAAAAAAATTGAATACCATTTTTTGTACTCATAAAGCATCCTGAATGTCTCATACACATAGTGTAATGTAAAGGAGAACTTTACATTAGACTCTGTATATATTATGCAAAATATTCCATGTAAAAATATTCGTATTTAGTATTTTAGATAACGTTACACTTCTGTATACACCGGCCCGATATGGGTTCATTGTCCTATCGTCGTGTGCTGCTGAGGCTGCTGACAGTATCATGTACTTCGTTTTTTTTGCAGCCGATAGTCAACTTTTTAAAACTGTCTTTTTAAAGACAACTTTTATACTAATGATGTCATTACTTTACAGATTGTTATTATTTACACATATTTTTAACAATTTTTAGAGTTAAGATAAGACCTTTCTTAAACATACGATACGCTAAGACGCAAGATAAGTCAACGTCAACATAATTTATGTATATTTTTTTTGTACCGTATGTATAATGTTTGTATAAATTAAAAAAAAATTTGCGTAGTCACCTGAGGACGGATATATTATTTTCTTTAATTTAAATTGTTTAAGTTCATTTTTTACCCCGCAGTCAAATCAAAAGACACCAATAGGTGCGTGCATTCTTTAACTTAAGGACATATTGTAAATGGTTTGGTTTTTTAAGCAGCTTTTTTCCCAAAACCATTAGGTTAACTTACAGCACATACATTTGTGATTACACATAACTTTTATTTTTTGAATATTCCTCGCGGGATGCACGCCCACACGATTGTGACCCAATAAGTTGTAACGTAAATAACTTCGAAATTTTTAAATGTGGATAATTGTTAAATGTAATTTTTTAAGAAAAAACACTACTATCTTTTGGTGGACTTTGAGAACATCAGTAGAATTTCAAATTAGCCGAGCCCGTCAAAAGGGTGACGACCAGACGGACTATCCGCTAGCACCTTTGCTGCGACTATGAGGTAGTCCAATTAGAAGGACACCCTTCAAGGTTATCAACATAACCAAGAAACAAAAGGGGGTGGTCATCTTCAAAAATCACCAGAAGTCTGCCAAAATAACAAGTGTTCTTTTTCCCCGTAGTTAGTGCTCCACTCACTTTTGTTTCCAGGAACTTTGTTCAACCTTTTCTTTTAATCATTTTTGTTTTTTGGTTTGTGATATATCCCTAAACTTTGTATGATAAGGCTCGAGGCCAAGACTTTTTCCGGGGGAGGACAAGCTGTAATGGTTACGTTGTCTAGCCGTTACCGTTTACTCCAAACCACGCACTATTTAACCCGTTTTTTTTGGGGGGGGGGGCAGTGTTGACACACAGAGATGACAGCTTGAGCGTCATACCATTGTCCAGTTGATAACTACCACCCGTGTTAATCCCTTTCACAACGACTTTGTGATATAATTTGCGCACCCTGTCGTTCATCTCTGTGTGCACCTCAACTCCGCTCTGCCCATCATCCGGACTCAGGTATATATTTGTATATTCATTGCATGCATGTATTATAATTATATTTAATTAGTAATCTTAATAAACACATTGTAGCTTGCACTTAAGAGCTGACTACCATTATTAGCGTTACCGCCCTTTTAAGACCTTCGGGCGATATACAAGGTTAATTTAAAAGGGACTTTAAAGGCCAATTCGTGTAGAAAACGGCTTAGCCAACCGTTTTCCGTCCAGGGATCCACGTCCTTAGGCTTATCGACGGCCACTGCACTTAGCCAGACAGTAGGTCCGTTACAGAAGTCTATTCAGGCACTTATGAGTCTCTGAAATGTTTTTATGAAATATCATGAAATATGACATTAACAGTTATGTTTAATCGATTTTCAAAGATTTTCAGTTTTTCTCAGGTTTTTCTTAGTAACACTCGACGTAGAAGATTATTAGGTATTACTGTTAATAGCCGGACACGTTCGTTATCGCATATGGTAATTAAATTAGCTTGAAACCCAATCGAAGAAACAAATGGAGAAAACAGAACTTTATGCAAAAACCGGGAAGTAAAAAGGGTGTGACTTAAGTACAAATTATATATTATCAACGTGTCTATTTATCTGTTTTTAGTATAATTTCATAAACGTACAACTATTAGACAATATAACAATAGATAAGACACTTTCGTATGTTAAAGGCGGTTTCAATGGTCAATGCCAATAAACATTCAAAATAATTATTATAATGTTAAACATTTGAAATATTATAACTATGTTTTTTTTTAGTAGGCAAATAATTTTGTTTTTAAAAATTGTTTTCGAATGTACAAGAAAAGTTAACAGCAACCTGTTTTTTCTTTTATTTATCATTTAACTAAATATTGCTCTATTTTTAATCTTGAGTCAAATCCCATCTATGGCCGACGGTTCAAGATGTTGTAACTTGTACCATCCACTGGTTTGAACTTAAACGTCTGACTTAAAAGTCACAACTGCAGGATTCAGATATACTCAACAAAATAATGTATAGTTGTTGTTTTTATTTTGCCTGTGTAAAAAAACCGTTTAAAAATAATAGTTGACCGTTGACAAGTTCTAACCCTGTCCTACTTCTCCAACGCTTAGTCGCTGACGAAGTACCGTCTAATTATAATACATTATATTATGTCATGTTTCATTGTTATTAAATAACCAGATCAACCTTAATCACAATATAATTTGGAGTATCTATATCAGAATAAGAATATACTTTTCTCCGAGTACTTCAAGGTTATTGATCCACATTTAATTAAGTGGTTTTTATTTATGCTGACTGGCGCATGCTGACTTTTGTGTTGACTGAGGGGTTTTATGAGCCATGACTAAAATGTATAATCAGTTGTAATATGAGTGTGTTGTGGGTGGCTTTCTTTTTTATGTATAAAAAAATAACAAAATAATACTTGACACAATCGATATATTTTGTATACATTTTACAATTTATTAATAGTACAATTATAATAGCTATTACATGCAAAAAACAACTAACATAATATGAAAAAACTAACTGAATATTTGTTCTATTGAAAAAAATCCCTTGGCAGAATAAGCCGTTAGGTTACAATACAATAATTGTAAAGTTACAAGACGTGTATTTAGAGTTTAAATAAATAATATTTTTAAAAATATATTTATCGATTCTAGGAATAGTAATAGTATTAATCTTAAGAGTTTTAGGGATAGGTTTGAGTTGCGGTGTGGTTTTCATAAATCTATTGATCGCGTCACAATCATAATTTTGATTTTAAAATTGTATACAATCGTTAATAGTCATTTAGTCAGAAAGAGGTACTGCACTAGTCACACGCTTGGGCCATCCAGTGTTTGGTCTTTAAGTCGTTTTGAAGAGCAGACAGATTAAATTGTATTTAATTACAAATAGAGTAGGTACTTTAAAAAATACTATAACATAATAATATGTGATGTTAATCTTCAATAGAGCGGATAATAATAATCTCCGTTACATGATAACATAACATAATTTTTTTGGACACATGTCTGTTAATTTAATTAAATCTGTTTGTAATTGTCTGTTCATATTTTTTATTTTATTAGCGTCTTAATTATAAGAAAAAAGGACTAACTATTTCAACATACATTATTGATGGATTTGCTAGTTTATTTTACGAATTTGACATATTTATAGTTAAAAAGGAAAAATAAACTATGCGAAGAGTGCTAAAGCAAATTTTAGATATGGAATAGGAAAATATTTTTTGAACTTTGAGTTAAAAAAATAAGCCAATCCTATGAAAGTTGCCACATTCATTCAAGGCTATGCTCACATAATTGAGACATGTAGAACAATATAAATATCTATGGTTATTGGGCTTGGTATCAATTTTAATGAGTTTAAGTAAATAATTGAAACCGTCGTTTCTTGACCAATAAAATATATCTTTAACAATATTCGTATATTAATGTATTTACAGACATTATAGACCGGCAATATAGAAGTATATCAGCTATAATAATAGGTGTATTGTACGTGCAATAAGTAATGTGTAATATGTAATAATATGCAGATCTAATACTAATATAAATTATTATTTGTATTATCGTCAGAGGTCAGTAACATGTAACTATGTAACGTTCTACTATTAAGTTTGGATTTCTTGAGTATGAGGTTAGGGATACAACTGGAACTTATCTTACTTGACCGGCACGGTCGGTTTTCTTTGTTGAGGTATAAGAGCTAGGTGTATACGTATAGGTATGTACTAACCGTTTAAACTTACTTAGCACAACTGCCGTGCCGCGGCATTCGCCCGTTGACCGACGACAAACATAATACATAGAAAATAATACACAACACACATAATATAAGAATCGTTTGTACGGGCTTGGACGGCGACGTGGCGTGCCGGCTGTTGCTGCGAGTCGATACGACCGGTCAGGCGCGCCCGTGCACAGCATCCCAACCCGCCTGGTTAGCTGCCGTCAACCGTCGGTTCTGATCCACCAGCTCCTGGTGCCTAAGTCCGGCAACGGCAGATTGAAACCCGGCATTGTAGTCCAAAGTCACCTCGTTGTAGATGTACTCTTCGCGTATGTCCTTGTAGTTGTCGTTCTCGTCCGGGCCACTGACCAGGGCACCGTAAAGGATTTGCGGATTGGGTTTGGCACTGCGGTACGCGTCCCAGTCACAAGGCGCCGGTCTGTCTGGACACGAACTGTGGGAAAATTAAAAATACATACAGTGACTACGACTATAACGCTCCAAAGGTTCCAGAGATCAGTGACAAACGGATGCAGGGTAAGCTATTGTAGACAGAGGGAGGGGAACCAAAATTATCATGAATCTTACCAGGTACCATAATCATGTTATCATGATCCATGATCGAATGGAATTCGCTGACTTAGGGATTTAGCCCTAGTCAGACACACCTCGGCCGTGTCTCACCACCAACGGTGAGTTAGTCGTTTTGCTGCAGAGCATCAGTCATGTCTTATGAAGTATCTAAGTTTTTCAGAGCATCTATGTATGTTTCAGAGTATCTTTAAAGTTATTTGTAAATTGTGTACATAACCATTTTGTTTTAAAATTGTTTATTTGTGTTAATTAATAATACAGAGTTAGTCGTGTGATAGCAGAGCATCCGTCTTGTCTTATAAATGACCTATGTGTTTTCAGAGTATCTAATAAGTTATTTGTCTATGTTGTCTGTTATTGTTATTCTGTCTATAGACATAAGTGAAAATGTGACTGTTTTGTATTTTTTATTTTACCAACAGAACTGTCAAAACTGGATTTCCTTAATTACATTATCTAATGAGTAATGTTGAGACTTTAAAACGAACTAATCGAGAACCCTTACAATTGTATATTCAATATTCGATGCAATACTGAAATTATATTAAAACCGAATACCATATTAATAAATATACACATGATATAAACAAAACTCATCATTATAATATTAAAATTAATCAAAAACAACTTATTCGTAGCCACTTTTTTAATAGAATACAATCAATATATTTTGTATGGAATTTGTTCAAGACCGGTGATATATTATATTGCTTACATGCAAGTATTATGTAAGCGCATATTATACCATAAATAATATATATATAACCAGGCCGTTATGCATACAGAAAACCATCTTGTGTTTGATGATATACGTATATAAAGTTAACGAATAAATATTTGTAATCGTATCCGAAAAATCAATATATTTGCATTCCTACAAAAAAGACTTTTGCTTAACTTTAAAATTAAGTTCTTAGAGTTAATAAAAACTATTCAGACAGAATTCCTCAAGTTTCTCGATTCCACATTATTACTTCAAATAAAATATTTTGTGTGTAGAGTTTTATTCAATAAAAAAAAAGTCAATAGCTCATAAAACGAAAACAGCCTAATTGTGTTCCAGTGACTTGGTAATAACGCTGAGCTCAACAAACAAGAAAAAAGTGTAATTTTCTTAAAATTTCACACATAGAAGAGCATTCTCATTTAACCAGTGTACATTTTATCCTTTTAACGGCTAATGTTTATGAGTAAATGGCTAGACAGAAATTCTTTAGAATATTTTTCAAAATAGTGTGGCAATTTATACTTAAATTTGTAAAAATTATTAGTAATATTATAGTATTTTTAGTTGAAAATTACTGTATTAAAAATTCTATTATAAAATTGAGTATTAAGTGTAAGGCGTACAAAGTAAGTATTTATAAATTTTAACTATTAACTACATATTATACCCACATTATCTTCCTACAAAAAGTAAAATGATAATATATGAATGATTATTATTATTAAAAAACTATTAATTTAACTAATAATTACAATTGAATACTGATTGCTATGGGTGTAATGCTGTAAGAAAAAATCATGTTGCATTTGTTGACTGAATGCATCTGAATATGCGTGTGAGTCGTGCAGATTGCATAGCAAGTATATTAAAAGGATTTAATGTATACTTATAAAATTCAAGAGCGCTAGATTGAGTAGAGGCAGAGCAAGTGCATTCATCAAATGCGTGGTTGTGCACTACTTGTAATTGAAAAAATCGATAGTTGATTATCAGATTATAAAATAGGTAATTGAATAGAGCAAAACCTTTTTTTTTATTCCTTCATTAGGGGTATTAGCTTGGTTCTGCTCTACCACAAAATTAGCAACCTAGTTCTAAACCAAGTATACGTGGTTCGCCGACTTATGCATGTGCTATAATTTCTTTGTATAAGAAACACAGTAGGTATAATTATTAATTAAATAATTAATATTACCCAACATTTATACAACCATGCATCATAAAACCGTTTGTAACATTAAGCCTGATATATTTTGTACTGTGTCATACCAGTACCACGTGGTACCGGCCAGTCCATCTTTTTAATTAAAGAAGGGCATTTCAAATTCGTAGGTATAACTTAATTTGAATACTCAATTTTAAATTGATACTCTATACTATTATACTACTTACCAATACTCTATTATTGTTTATTTGGCCAAAACATATTATAATGAAGACTATATAATTGTATATATGTATATAATTTTCGAAATTTTCAATATTGTAATTTTTGAAGAGATTTTTAGCATTTGGAATTTGTAACATGTCACTATTATTGTATTATAGGTTTAAATGTTAAATGAATAAATAAAGTTAAATATAGTTTAATAGCACTCCTATTTTAGTTACTATACATTTTTTGTTATGATTTTTATACGGTTAGTTAACCAAAGTTATACCGCTTACCATAGTAAATTTTTTATAACATTTTATATTTTTTTATATTCAACATATGATTATAAAACAGTACCTGGCTGCGTGGTAAGGCTGCGTGGGATAATTTTCGCCAAAACCTACAACGTAGCTTCGACCTCCGTCTCCTAGCATGTAATGGATTTGTTCTTTAGCGAATTCTTTGTAACGTGCGGGTCCCACACCGTTGTCAGCTGCCTGCGCAAAACCAATTCAAAGAAGTTATCAATATAACTTGTAAATAAATTAGCCATTTCTATTATTTATTTCGTCACCGTTGTAATAACCACTCACTTGTAGGCATAAGAAAACTATGTTCGAAGCGTGACACAACGTTCCGGATTTATCAATGTACAATAACCCTTTCGGCGTTTTCTTCTGGGTGTACACGTTGAAGTCACAGAAGTTTTGAACCGACTCGATGTACTCTTGTTGATTAGTCAGCTCGGCTAGCAGCAACTAAGCCAAAAAGACACGTCAACATATATTATTTGTTTTTTTAATTTCAAATCAACCTACACGTGTTTGCAAAAAAAAAAAAATAAATAATATGTTAAATATTAAGATAATAATTAAGTTTCAAAGCATAATATGTGACAATTTCAAAACAAATAATTTTAATAGTAATAATACTGAATAAATATTATCGTTGCAAACAAAAAATTAATTTAAAAAATCTCTCTTAACGGTACGTTATATCCCTCAAATCACTATGGCTTTGATTAAACAATCGTTTGTGTTCATTAATTTGGCCTCTAAACAGATTAATGTGATTTCCAGTCGATTGCGAAAAAGATCCTAGTCGGATACTTTATTCTAATAATGCTATATTTGCGTACATAACTAATGAGGCATCTAATACTGTACGGACTCGTTTCAAAACGGAACTAGATTTTATGTGTATGTATAAATACACTTGTGACATAAACTTCCCAATTTACATAACCTAATGGTTTTTCCTGTCCCCACAGTAATAGGAATTAGATAAAAATAAAAAATGTAGTCACTTTAGAGGAAGGTCAATTTTAATACTATGGTGGGTCATTCTATTAATTTACATTCAATGTAATATTTCTAAAATACAATTATTGCAATACAGAAAATCATAGCAATAATATTATATTAATAGCAAAACAGTCACATTAATTTAATGTTTTAATGTTTTTACATTAAATTTTATTTAAATATACTTTAATACTGGCATCTTTTCAAATGTTTTTTTAGAAATAATCAATTAATAAATAATATTTATCCACCAACTATAAATCAGTCATTATCTCAGATGATATTGTACTTTTAAAAGTTATTTTTTTTTATACCTTTATAGTTAATTGTTCGTCCAGTTTTAATTTATTTTCAAAAATATAAACACATCCTAACTAAACCTAATCTCATGAAATTAAGCTTTCCATGCGGACAAACGGTAATGTATATATTTTGTTTACTTTTTAAATCAGAATAATTTGCTGAAAATGTTGACTGGTCGATTAACAGTTTTGAATAATTACGTTTAAAGTCATTAGAGTTTAAAATTTAGGGTGGTGGAGTATAGTATTATTTTTATCTGCGCGCACTTCCCCTCCCGTCCAAACTTTTAAACCCTTTTATCACAAAATTGGTTATCAACCTGTCAACATTTTTCAGTAAAATATTCTTAATAAAAAAAATATATACGTTACCATTTAAATTTCAAAAGTTGCCATAAAAAAAACTAGTTTGGGAGGGGGTAGAAACATAATAATTTGTAGAAAATTAAGATCACATTATATAAAACACTATGAGAAATAAAAATTCAATTATTAATTGAACCCAGTGACATATTGAGTGGCCCATTATAAAAGAATCCCCCTGTATAAGGAACAAAAAAAATGTACTGTACTGTCTACAGTCTCATTTTCAGACCTTAAGTCATTCACGATTTAAAGCTATTCGCGTGTGAATTATTTGAATTTAAATATTCATTACAACTGAAATGACTTGTTATCGCGCAATTGCTTGTACACCGGAACTTACTTGGGCGCCAGCGGATTTTTTATTGAAGAAAAATTCGTTGGGACGGCCTTTTAGCCTGTACTTGACGTATAGGTATTCGGCGTCTTCCAAGTATTGCGGTTCCTTGGTGGCCTTGAATAGCCACGCAGCCGCCCATGTCAACTCGTCCCCGTAATCCGTCGATCTGTTGATAAGTTAATTAAACGTCTTAACAATAGCGTCCCTAACGAGATGAGATGGCATATATATATATATATATATGTATATTAATCTAAAGGCGTTTTGCCGCGGTGCTTACTCGTAGTACTGCGACGCCCCCTTGATAGCGTCGTGGTACAATCCCCTGTGCTGAGTGCCGAACTTGTACAACTGCTTAGCGTGTGTAAGACATTCGGCCGAGAAGTTTGCGTCGACGTCGGCGAATACCATGGACACGGCTGACAATGCTGCAGACGTTTCGCCGGCTAAATCGGATCCTGAAGTGTTGAGAACTTATATCAATACCGGCGATATAGGCGAACAATAACAATTACACTGATAATGTACAATGCTACAACAAAAGACATGTCGACGCACGAAAATAATTAAACCGCCAGTAGCAGCATGGCGTTTCGCGGGGGATGTGCATGGTAAACAGTATTTCTATTCAGCGCCCGTCACGTCTTCACATTGCCCGTTAACCTAACCCAATTAAAATTCGAAACTTAAGCTAACCTCGATCCGTCCTCAATTGAATTATTATCTCTCACTCGGTCGGCGGCTATTGACAATTTTATGTCAATATTATTAAAAAAAAAACGTGCTTACGTGTACTCGTTTTAATTAAAGTCGGCTACACCCCGTTACTCAGCCTCGGCGACTGAACCTCCGCGATTTGTTCCATTTGATTGCATTTCAAAACCGTCGTCCCGATACTGAGAATAAGAATTTGTCATTTAATAAACGAATTGTGTTTTAATGGAACTTCAACGCGAAGCTAAGAACTTATTGGTATTTTAACTATGTACTTGTATTTGCGATAATCGCCGTTCACAGTCTACCGTTTAGATTAAAGAATTTGTTAACTTCGGGTCCCAAGGAAAACGAAAAGAAAGCAAAAATAACTGACATTCATAACCTATCATTTCATCGTTCAACGACCAAGTAGTCTGTGAGGCAGTCGAGATAACAAGCAAGTAGTATTCAGATTACCTAAGCTTGAATATAATATTATATTGTACTCGTGTACTATGCACGTTCGATTGGTTGATTGTTATTGGTCGTTTGGCGGACGTGCACCGGTAAAACTAAGTACACTTAATGCGCATTTGAACTCTGTTATAATATATTCCGTGTTAAGTATAATAAAAGGATTAAAAATTTGTAATCAAATAAAAATCCAAAAATTGAATTCAGATATCCTATAATAAATTACAGCCTAATTCGACTTTAACGGTTTTATACATGTTTTGTTTAACTCTTGATTTTAGTCCCCATTTAAGTGTCAAATGTGAATTTACGTACCCGAATTAGGTAAAACTGAATAACATGAAAACCCAATTAAAGAAGTTTTTACATGATTATAATACCAGCAGTTAACAAATTCTTATTGGGTAAAATCAGTTGAAAACATACATATTGTAGATAAATATAATACAATTATTATTATTAATTTGTATTTTAATCGATAAATGTATTGTTAGTTGTGTCTCAGAATATTTATATTGTGTAATCAGATTTTAAGATACACAATACATGCTATAAAATTGTTGTTATTTATACTGTAGTGTACGTTTTAATTATATATTTAATTAGATTGCTTCAATGGAATCTAATTCAGTGATTACACATTGCATATAAAACCAAAGCAAATATATATATATATATAAACCAACCATTATAAGCCATAATAAATTGTGATGGCAGTGTTAAGCCATCAAGGCGTGTAAAGATATATTATAATGATGATATAAGTCCAATGGCTAATGCGCAAACTTAATTCGCATTAACGACGGTACATAAGCCTGGCGATAAACTACCGAAGTAAGTTAATACAAACTAACGACCGCACTTGAGCGTAGCAGGTAATTGATAATTCGAATTAAAATATAATATAGTATGTACCCGGATGGGCTTTGTCGATTTTGTAAGCCGGCCTGGACATGTTCATGTCTTCGGGTCGGCCCCAGAACTTGTGGTCCAAAGTGAAGTCACCCACTTGTCCGTAAAATTCGTATTCGCTGACATGGCATTTAATGAAGTATTCGGCCGCCCATCGGAGGGCACTTAACATGTGTTCCCATTCATCTGTAAGACATGAAAGAAAAACCGTTTCATACTCTAGGTGACTAACAAGTAATAACTGTGCTGCTATTGCGTCGCGGCGAATAATAATAATAATAATACTTAGTACCACCGTTACGCGGTTGTTATTGTATTGACAATATTATAATATGTGCAACAAACAATAGCGACAATTAACGGTACTCACTTGCTTCTTCGTATGCGTCTTTGTACGATAAACAACCCCACGCCAAAATCGTCGTCGTACCCGCCATTGTAAATCCGAACTTGACATAGTCTCCGGCTGAAATTAATATCGATTCACTATTCAGTGCCAAACAGTAAGCGTATTAGCACAGCAAAGCTATTGATAGATTTTCTTCCAACCTTATGGGTCGGCCAACTACTTTTGTTGTGAGTCACAACTTGTGACAACGGTACCACAGAAGATTTTAAAACAAGTGCAAAGCTGATAAAGTATATTGTTTTTAAAATAAAGTTTTTTTTTCTATTTTGTGTCTGGACCTACGATATCTTTCGTACCTGAAAGCCAAAAATACTTTGTGCCTAAAATTTAAAAAAAATCACCCCTTCAACTTCAAAAATCGAGGGAAAAAACCAAAAAATATACATATTTTGTCAACTTACAACTTTTTTTTTTTAAATAGTCAAATTAATTCCAAACTTTTATGGAATATTTTTCGGATAAAGTGCTATCGATTTACTTTAAAATATCAAAAACCCTTCCCCTTTTCTTTATTTCTGTTTTTCCAGCAAATGTCTACGACTTAAGGCGTGAAAATTACACTGAAGATAAATCTAGTGCGGGGCTACATTCAACAGATATCTGAAAAATAGTTTTAATTTTGTTGTTAACTGCGATTGATGAGAAAAACAGCCACAAATTATTTGAGACAGTCGCTTTGAGATACTGTTAACCACGTTTGAAAGTTTTGTTTTTTTACCCAAACTATCAGCTTTTTTTGCATCAAATTCCGGGAAACCTATTATGGTGGTAGAATTTTCCTCGGGGTAGTTTCTTCATAAAATACTAAGGGTTTTCTTCGAAAGAATAATTAGGAAAAAAGAATTACGTCACAAAAAAAACCCTCAGGCGACAGACTAACACGGCTCTTGAACAAATATAACACTAGAAAAAAAAAACGGTTGGGTACCGTCGGACTGCAAAATTATTACCCGTGGCCGTAAAGAGATATCCTGGCTAATGAGTTCAGAAACTTAACTCGGGCAATGCGCTTTTAACAGTTTTAAATTTCATTATTGTTTACAGAGATCGGCCGGTGTAAAATATATGTGCCCCGCCGTTATTATAAGAAGAGATGCGCATTCTCACATTATTCGAATAAAACATTGTCTAATTAATAATCATCTTGATGACACGTTATTCGAGTGAAAATCAAGTGCGGATCCAGGGGGTTTACTGGGGGCAAGTGTCCACCCCACGTTACCAAAAAACGTGATATTATATTATCAAAATTAGAGGTATAACCATCTAGCCCCTTAGTTTCGCCTGTGGAAAATCATGAAAAATCAATACAATCATATTTGATTCGAATGATTGTGTGAACTTGTGAAAATTGTATTGGAATAAGAATTTTCCCAACTCTGATTAAGAGTTAATGACGCCGGAGTGGCCACAGACGTTATTACACACAAAACATGAGTGACGGTGTATTACTATTAATATTGTTAGACGTTTGATTATGTTTATTAATCATTATCTTACCGTCGTAGTACCCGCCCGACAGGTCTTCGCCGTCCTGCCCGCGGTCTGAGGTGGCTGAATCGTCACGCCATGCTATGCGGTTGTCGGCCGGCAAGTGACCCGACCTCTGGGCCTCGTAAAACATGAGCGACAACCGCAACACCTCGTCGTAATCATAACACAGTACAGCGGAACAGGCAAAAAACACCATTGTCAAAATTGCGTTTTTCATCTGAAAAATAAAACGCTGTAATTTTACAATGGATAAAATGTTTTATTTTTTTTTTTAATATTAAATTGTACACGTCTTGGACCGCAACACGACTGCACCGCAGTCGCGGTCAATACTTAAGGGCACTACAAAGAAATCGTTAAGACGACCGCAAAATTAGTAAACTCCGTTTAAGCATTATACGACAATGGTCGTTGGCAAGTTCAAGTCGTACCTATGTATATGTGCGTTGTCGGTATAGCAAACGGTTTTATCAAATATCACTCGAGCTTCTCTGCCCAACAGACGAATTCAGTATAAATATTTAATTAATGTGCCCAACAAATCGACAAGCCGATGATAGAAACGTTTAGATGTATAAATGTACACACTATGTGCTTAATGTAATCAATAAAACAAATTAACAAGGCCGGTAAACACGAACTAGAAACTTATGAAAACTATATAAATTCTACGAAATCTGGCGGTACGCAAAATGTTAATAATATTATTCTGAGAAACTAAGAGGTTTTTGTTTTTGTATCACACCAGTCGGCAGACAGCTGGACATCGTCAGGGCAGGCAAACATCAGGCGATTTAAATTGAAACTCTATTTTGCACTTTGACGATAAGTTACGGTGCTGCTATAACACGTCATCATTGTTTCAATATAATAGAACCTTGGCAGTACTTCTCGGTAATGTGTTCCAAAGATTCGAACAATAATGACCCCGAAATCATTCCTGACACCATCTTGTAACTAATGTCTTACCACCTATCGTGAGTATCTCTTTTATTCGTTAATCATTGTCAATCAATCCCTCGTCCCTATTGTCGATCACGATAATCACATTAATCACTATTATTAAATGATTTATTATTTTTTCTAATAAATCGCGTTTAAAAATTACACAGTTCAAAAACTATTCCACTCTGTGTACAACTTTAGAGGACGTCTTATACGTAGGTACATTTATTCAAGAGTTTTAAATTCTATCAAAAAACTGAATTTTAATTCAAAACTATACTACTGTTATGTTAGCAAACAAACAGTATACATGTACATATAAAGCCACCTTAAAAATATATTATACACATTTACAGCATTTATTGTTTAAAGTTGCCTAAAAAACATATTGACTTTCAATATTTTGCCTAGTTTTAGTATGTACAGTGTATATAAGTGTCACAAGGAATAAAACACCAAATTAATGATACCTGTGACTTGGGCCAAGAAGAGTTGATATCAATGTTTTCAACAATTGGCAAATTATCTTTAAAGTTTATATTTTGATAGTTTTCAAAATGCTTTGTGTTGTCCTTTTTAACCTAAATCCTCATAATTTGTTTTTGTTCTGTGTAACATTTTATTTTACACAATATAAATGATGTTTTAATTTACACGTTTCGTTATCTTATTAATTTTTGCCAAAAATGTATATTGATCCTTTTTGATTGAAAACACAAAGCTATATGTACTTCTAACAAACCAGACTCTGATCTGTAGACATACATACCACGATTTTCTAATGAAAATCGACGGTGTTAACATGTTTGTTAAATGGAATTTGATAATATTATATACTTCTACGTTTATCTATAAAAAATAGTATTTCTGAATAGATAAAATATTTAATTAAATAAAACATTTATAACCCGTTATAAAATATTTTGGAACGTTTGGATCCATTTCATTCCAAGGTATTGTTTAAAATTGTAACTGATTTCCTCGGGGTTCCTTCAAGCGTTCAAATTAAGTAAAAATATTTTCATTATTTTGACAACAAATTATTCAAGATAAAGTACTAATTCGTCATATTTAAACACAATAGATTTTTGAAAAAAATGTACTTAGAATTTTGTTTTTATTCCGAGGTAATGCAATCGTATTTCGTATTAACAAAAAAATAGACTAATTATATTTTAGCTTTCGAATTACATAAAGTAACAATATGCAATTCGTTTCAATGCAACTATTTGCCGTTAAATATAAGTTTAAAAAATCTAACAGCACTTCAAGTATGTATTGGATACTTTCACCTAAACAATCTTGGCCGTCGGTGCGCTTGTTGTCGGATAAAATGGTCTGTTCAACTTTCTATTATAAATATATTGATCTTTATTTTTCACATTAAATTTACACCTCGCTGAGCGTTACAATAATAACAAACAGAACAATGTTCTATATTAATATAATAATACGACAACACGATTGCGGATCACCCTGTATTTTAATATGATAGATAATAGTTATAAAACGAAATCATGGTGTACATATACCATGTGGCTGGCTTTGGGAATCAGACAATAATAACAAATTACATAAACGGCTATGGCTGATATTAGATGTTCGGTTCCTCAGAGTAAAATATCACAGATTTGATTGAGTCCCGCTAATTATTATCTGATGTCCACGCGACACAAGGAGGATTATGACCTTGAGAAACAGGTTGGATCTTCGGATCGATGGGTAATTTATTATTATCATCACTGACAGCCGTTCGAAAAGTATCGAAAATCAACAGGCGCAAACGGCGCAGGGGTTTGTGCATTGAACTTAACCGATGACGGATGTATTTTTCGAACACCTGCAAACATACATGTGTGTACTTACAATAAATTTGGCGGATTTATTCGGCACTGCAATAATAATAATGCGACAATAGCCGTTTATTACAATTAACTTTAGACGGTGATATACAATGAAATTGTATAAATGTATTCAGAACACAAACTATAAACTGTAATAATAGTACACCATTAAGTATGTTTCCACTATACACCACTTAATTTCTCCAAAAAAAAAAAAATGTACTTATTGTTTTTACCGATGTTTAGTCACGTTGTTTTAGGCTAATCGTTTTTGAAAATCTGAAATAATTTTGAAAAAGTAGTAAATAACGTTCAGTGTAAGCGTAGCTTTTGTAAACATATTATTTTCCTAACGAAATCTTAAAAACAACTATACATGTTCATAACAGTGATAACACTACGGTAGTTATGTGTTTTACACTTTACCGGCTTTGAATAATAATTTGTAATTTTTTTTTTTTTTTAACTATTACCAAAATATTGAAATAGAGAAATGTGCATAAGCAGATGTCATGACAGAGTGGCTTAGGTGTATTTACACACGTTCACGTTGCTAGTTTGATCCAATGAATTTTTGTATCTCCGCTCCCCCTACCCCCGGGGTTCTAATTTGTTCAGCATTAGTCTGGTAAAACTTTGAAATTTTTTTAAGCTCTTGGATAAAGTGACTTTTTACTAAAATAATAAAGCAAAATGTCGATTGTTTATTTATTATAATAAAATGTACATTTTCATGTGTGTGCTAACTCAGCATATCTTTTACACATATTTAAAAGGACCTTAACATTTATTTCAAGATTAATTCAAATCGTTCAGTCTACATACATGACATATTTCAACAAGTAATAGATTATTACTTCGCAAAAAAATCTGTGGATGTATTTTTGAAGTAACCGCAAAGTACAACTAATAGGCCGCAGACGCCTAAAGCTTAGCTTATATTTATAGCTACTTGAGCCGTAGATGTAACCGTGGGTCTCCCGTCGTCACCTATCACTTTGTACAAGTAGACCGACCCCTTCGGGCGATTGACCAAACTCGTATTCGTATGTAATAACATTATTATTATACTCAAGACCGCTCGTCGTTCATTGTATGTTGTATCTGTGTTTTACCAAACAAAAAAAAAAAAAAAAACAGAAGCGGTATGAAACACAAGGCATCTACATTACCTAAAGGTGAATTGTACATATATGGCTGTCGGTATTTAACTAGTTTCACTTGATGCCTTTTCGATGTACGATGCAGCTTATACTCTGAAAACAATATATTTCATTTTTCCGGCGAGTCCTTGTTAGTGTATTGCATAGAGTACTTAAAAGTGCAATAAACAAATATTTTTTATTATTGTTTTTACGATTAAATAGTCATTATCACTTTTTAAGTACTTGCAATAGATGATGGACGGACGATTCAAATCACAACTGCAATACTTTACAATTATTCACATTGACTTTTTTACTACTCTAATGTTTCAATTGTTTTTAAATTACTAAAGGTATGTGTAACGGGACATTGTAATAACTATGCGCGCTATGGTATTATTTTTAATTATAATTAATTTATAAAAAAAACAATTACATGTTATCCTACTGATTAATATCACACTTATGGATATAATATGTATTTCTTATTTATAACGCCCTTTCAAAAAAAACCATAGCTTGTACGAGAGAGGGCGAACAACGTCTGTGCTGCGGAAATAAAACCCGGTACCTCAATGTTTTTAATAGATTAGATTTCCGTTTAATTCACTTTACCTAACATTTGATTAAACTTCAACTTGTAACTTGATTAATCATAATAAGCAATTGGCACATTTGACCTTCAATCGATATGAATCATTGACTTGTCCAGCCTCGCTATATTTATTATGAACATCAAGATAGATTAATGTTTCCAGGAATTAAATTTGTATTAACAACCACAATAGCATCATTATAAATATTTACATACGGTTATTTTATTTTTAAAGGTATCATCATTCACCAGTCAGTGGAAAATCATAGAAAAACATTAATTAATAAACATTATCGATTTGAGCAATTTATTGTGTGTGGGCCAATTAACCTAAAACCGTCAGTAATTTTCTATACACAATTTTCTTGGATTTCACTGCTAGAAATCCGATAAATTTCTTTATTCAATAAACTGCAAAGCATGTGGTTTTTACTAAGGCTTTTAGCATTAACGCTGCACATCAAATTCACTTAATTGCCGGACGGGAGTTTAAAAAAATACTCGATGCACCCGTAGTCCGTGGCAGTTTTAAAAATAAAACTGATCTCCGTTTAAGTAAAAAAAAAAATAATAATAATAAAAAAGTAGGTGCAAATTGTTCAGTTCTTGACCTCACTCAACTAAGTAACCAACTGGATACGATTTCTCGTCGATTATAAGGGGCTAGAAAAAAGATTCGATCCAGTGCAGTGGTTGAGAAAAGATAATATCCTCTGTGTTCACAGACACAAAAAACCACATCATTGTAGAAACGATTATATTATATTCTTGACTCCCCGTCGTAGCTAGAAAAACGATGAGATAAATCACATCGAAATAACTGCTACACATCACATCAAAATACATTAGTCTTCACTAGCAATAGATCATAATAAACACATCACATAAAATACTTTGTACAGGTGCGTTCACGTTTTGTGCTTTTGGATAATATTTTAAACGGCAAACAAACTAATAATTCAAGTCAGAAAAAAAAAATGTTACGGCGACGCCGGTAGTAAAAATTACCGCAATTAGTCTACAACAGCTACCGGTATGTGTCAAGGTATATACACACAAACTTGACTCGATTTCGGAGAATTCGGATAGGCAATAAGTAAAAGGTACATAATATTATTCAGAAGAAACCATATGAATTTATAGCATCGACACTCACCCGCCTACCTAAGTGTGGTGATTGTTAAACATGGGTACCTATACTCGAGTAATGACAGCATGGAGAATATCAGGTATCGTGCCGGGAACGACGGGGCTTATAAATAAAATTGTTAACATATTTTTCATGCGGTTATTCATATTATTATGCTTACATTTGAATATACATTAAAACTACATACATAGTTCCATACATTTACAGTCAATTCGAATACTAATTTTTTCCAACAACTTCTCGTTCGGTTGCATTAAGTTCAGTAAAATGACATATTTTTTTTTATCAACAAAGTCAAACAAAACAATTACTGGCCGTTCAAAATACACACATTTTTTGAATAAAATCGTTTAAAAGCACCGTTCTCGTGTAGCTTATATTTTAGAGAGAGTAGTTTAAATTAGTAGTTTTAATTTCATTAAAAAAAATGTGTATATTATATTAATATAAGGGTCGATGCGGAAAAAAACACAAAAAGTTGTCCGTGTCTGAAGAGACACAAAAAGAATGTCCTTAATAAATTCAAGGGAAAAACGACCCTGTTGCAATAAATTGATTTTGATAATTCTATTTACATTTTTTTTATTAAAACTTCAAAAAGCCGCAATGAACCAACTATTTTAGTAACGACTCATACAAATATTTTTACTTTTTAATATTATTTTTTAATACTTAGAATCGTGTATTATTCTGCTCTATGAGTTTCGTATTTGTTTAAATCTAATTTGGTTTGAATTCATTCGTAAGATTCAATACAATGCAACGATTTGTAGAATTTAAATTTCTTTGAAATAATAATGAAACTGTGTTTGTTCTATAAGATAACATCTTTTTATATTGCTTAGGTATAAAAACTAAAACTTTAATACCTAATACCAATTATGACTTTATAAAAAGTTGTCTATATTGTCAGTAATTGACAATAAGCTTAATTTGTTGGATAATGTTAACAATAACGGGTCTGCATTTACACCTTTGGTGGCAACATATTATACAAAACTATTATTACACTCAACTAAGATTTTCCCATATTCTCTAATAACACTAAAGCCTTTTTCCGAGAAACACCAATTATAAATGCTTCTAAATGTAAGCTGTATAGTCAACCGTGCTTAAGCCTTAACTAAATACTGTATACATTATCATGTTGCTGAAAACTATTTCTGGTACCTAGTCGTTAAATGTATTATGTAAATGATCTAAAATGTGATGTTTATCAACATTTTATAGGGATTATATTTTCCTGGAACTTTGTATAAAATGTCCACATCAAAACATATTGCTCACGAGTCATGACCTCACATAATATACTACAAATGTTATTATGATGTTTAACGCGTGGATATTTACATAGACGCTTATGTAGAATCAGATAAATAAATGTTTGATTAAAATTACAATACTTTGTAATCATCATCATATCATAAAACTATGGTACAATAAAAATATAAATAGAAGAACGAGTCTACTGGAAAAAAATACAAAAAATGTAGGTATTTTTTTTTTTTTTTAAAGCTTATGGATATCAATGATACTGTATTATCTTTCTTTGGAATACGAATATTTTAATTATTATTTTAAATGGGCCACTAATGAACATGATGAATATTCAAATTAACTGATGTTGAATTTATTAAGGTTTGCAACGCATAGTAGTATAACTATTGATTCCTTGCTAATAAAATATGCAAATCCTTAATTAAAAGCTTGTAATATTTAAATATTCAACTTGCTTTACGCCGAGGAGCAAACAAAACGATTCAATGAATAATTAAAGCAACCTAACTTAAATAGATGTGCAAAATTATGGATGCTGTTTAAAAAGTATTGCTATCAGAACTTGAATTACCAATACATTTTCTGTTATTATTATTACAGTAAATCTAATTAAATTATTTATAAAAAATTAAAATACATTAAAAAGCCTCTCGGTGAAAATAAAATTTGCCATGTAATTAAAATGCCAGTTTAAGTCACCAAAGGCTATTACTACCACGTTACATTTTATACTTCTCGACTTCGGACTTCTCGTTAAAAAATTGTAATTAAACTTAGTTTTTTCTTCATGTTTCGTTTTTAATACAATTCAACCGATGTAAAATTAATTTTTACCGATTTAATATTTTTAAGGACTACTACACTTACAGCGGTTTCTGTACTTATCTTATCGTTACGTACAATTGTATTAATTAACTCGATTAATAAACAAATTGCATTGTAGTTTATTGAAGTTAAAGTAAAAAAAAAAACAAACAATATTGATGATGAGTTATTATTATTTTGTACCTGGCCGGCCGCATCGACGTTGTACTTCATGATGGCGAAACAAATCTATATAGCTATGTGCACCACTAGACGTGACTTTAGGTAGATTAAAGTTCAAAGTCGACGGTTGTTTTTTTTTCTGTTGAGTCTATACGAAAGTCGCAGACAACACTGAAACATCAGCTTTCGTTGCTATCATTCTCGGCGCCGTCTCGTCCATAACAACAGCTAAGAGAGACCGCTTCTCTCGGAAAATAACGGCGGTTTAAGTACCAACAACAATAACAACACTGCGGACAAGATAATAATATAATATTATATATATTAAACCGATCACGGACGGATGGCTGACGATACTCCGGCACCGGTTGCCGACGGAATGGAGATAATATTATTATTTTGTATTATTATTAAATGTGATTATATATTATCGGCGACGGAGTTAGTGGAAGTGTTTAGTCGGTGTCGGTGGCGGTCCAACTGTCAAACGAACGGCAAACGCCGTCGCCCAACGCGGTATCCGCTCCTGCGAATTATTACAAGCTGAAAACGACGGCGGTGGCGCGAAGGCCAATGAAAACCGCCCCGAACGAATTCGTTCACTATCAGGTAACAACAAAATATTGCACAATATCTAAAATAGGCAGAGTTGTGCACATTCGTATGTTCGAATAAAAATTGATCCGAATAAAACGTTATTCGAATAATTATTTCACAGTTTATTCGAATAAAATGTTATTAACCCTAAACTGCATGATTTTTTTTTTAACCATATGCTATAAATGTACTTAATACTACTTAAAAAAATTTAAATAATTTTTTTTTTGAGTTTTGGTTTCATGGAAAACGCTAATTAAAGAATTGTACCAAATATGGAACATTGTGCATCAAAGATATATAGCATGAGCAGGTATAAACAGTAAATATAATTGTACCATACATGGAACATTGTGCAGTGAAGGGTTAAAATAATCTTTTCACAATGTATTCAAATAGTTATTTAAACAGTTTATTATTCGAATAATCGAATAATAATAGGACCGCCACAACATAAAAATTATAACATAATGCGATTTGTCATTTCAAGTTAAAAACTAAGATATTATAACTACGCATTTGAAACCTAAAAACTTACAATCGCATGCTTAAAATATCATGAAATACTCTTTTAAATCCAAATAGTTTGTGGCGATTCACAATTTTTCAAGTAAATACAAGTCCACCTTATTTTAAGATGTGGCTGTATGGCATACACAAATTGTTTTTATGACCGCCATAATAAACAGAAACATAGCAGTATTGAATTCGAGCTATGAAATGCAATACCACTACAAATGTTCGTTTACTCAACACCAAATCACACGAAAATTAGTTTTTATTCAGCGTAAGAACGCCACAAATCAAAAATAAGGCAGTTTTGAATTTTGACTTTGTGGTTAATTAAAAACTTAATACTGTCCTAAAGTGTAAATATGGCTCTGTTGCTTTGGTAATTAACTAAAAATTGAATGAATTCAATACTGACATTTCTTTTTGGTGGTCTATTGAACAAGTATATTGAATGTGACATTACATAAAACATTTTTTTTAATTCACACGTTTTATACGACACAGAACGTATATGATTAATAATCAACCAACTAATTAAAAATAAAAAAAAAAGACACAGTATAACAATATTATGTACTCTTAGATTTCTTTCATAAACATTACATTTTTACAACGAAACTGATCTAAATGGTATCACTTATCTTCTTAGATGCTTGCAATAATGTTTTAAGAAACTATCCCGGAGGCGTTTCCGCGAAGCAATTATACAGAAAAAACATTAATAATATTTATTGAAAGTAACATATTATATAAAATAATACAATTTATATAACGAGAATAAAAAGACAATTAAGAAAAACAAGAATTAAAATAAACAAATTATTTGTCAGTGATGACGTTAACTCTCTTTCACTGAAATAATTTTAAAAACTTAATGGTTTGAATAAAAAACGTTTAGTTATAATAATTGATTTTTCGAAATGATATAACAACTTGATTTAATAATATCCTATTAAATTATAAAAAAATCATCAAATAATACAACAGATTTAGATTTGTTTAGCTACTTTAATCACTTTGAGCTTACATTATAAAAAATATTGGTTTCTGTGAATTTCGTATCAGTAAATTTTGAAAGTAGAACCCCTATATAAGTACATTTTGTTCCACCGATGAATTATGCTGAACGAGGTTCCATTCGGCTATTGTTTTATCTGAAATGTTCAACTACAAAATACTACACATATGCATAATGTATTTCCAGCGGAAGAAAAATTTTAAATAAAACAATATTTTCAATGACCTTCATGTCTAAGGTTAACAACCTTCATTACAAAAAAACTCAATATGATAATAAGTGTAAAAATCAAATACTAAAAACGTAAAACATAAAAATGTTTGTAAAAAAAATAGTATTTTGGAAAATGATAATTATTTATCAAGTTTATAAATTTAATTAAACAATATTAATTGTATCCACGTCAAACAAACATTTGTAAGCTCTAACATGTACAAAAATACTCGATCGACGTTTTACTAAAGCAGCAATTGGTTTTATTAATGCTTCTGCGAATTAATATTTAATATAAAATAATAAATATTTTAATAACGGACAAGTATTCACTATTAACTAGGGTAGTCTTGTCCTAATTACACTCTTAAAATAAACCATAGCTCGTTTCAAAGAATATTACTTGCGGTTTTCGTGACAGTTTTCTTAAGAAACGACATAACACAGTACACATGTACAATGCTTTATGTACATTTAATCATTTTTCTAAAAGACGTCAAAGGACCCAATCTGGTAATAACAAAGAAAGTTACTGAATACTTTAAAGCTAAGCTCTAACGATAACAACCGACATAATTTTTTTAATACTTCCATTTTCATTACAGATTGAAAAATATATTTTAAAAGAACACTGTACGCTAACAATACATTAACGAGTCTTTTAATACAATGAACAACCGTCAGATTTATCTTAGTCTTTGCTCGGTTGCCTGATTATAAGAGAAAAACGTGTTTTAAGCGATGAAGAAATAATATTGTGTGATTTCTCAACTACAGAATTCAATACTATTTTATTCATAACTTATTTAACAATCAAACGGGAACCTATGTAAACACGTTGGCTAGTATTATATAAGTGTATAGAGTAGACAGACATGGCAACAAACAATGTAAAATGGAGAGAATAAAAAATCAGCACAGTCTATCTCACTTCACTTCAGAGGGGTAGAAATAATATATATATATTTATATAAGGGTACCCGAAACTTTTAGTTTACAAAATCTAAAAAAAAAATTCGCGGTTTTGTTTAACTAAATATAATAATTAAAATATAAGTTAAGATTGATGGATCACGATCGGCCAGTACACTAAATAGGCAGTAGTATGTCAACAACCTGTTTGAAAAAAAGTTTGTTATTACAAAGATACACGGGGACAACCACGATTAGGTTAGGTGATAATGATGATATTATTATTATTTATCAGTATGTATATTATATTAAATACAATTTAATATAGTAATTATATGTAATGTACATAAGAATGTATGTGTTATATGTAATATAAATTGATTATCTAAAGAAAGTAGATTTTTCCATTAAAAAAAATGGATTATTGGATGTAATGAATTACACGGGTTGCAGAACAAGTAAGCAGTTTGTGTATATTTACTGGTATTCTTGTATTTGTATTACCCGTTCAAAACCGTGGCTTCTAATTGTTTAAAATATATTGTTTTATTCCAAGAAGAAACTAGAATATATTTTTTTTCGTTAATAGGAACTCTTCAACCTTGTACCATTTTACCAGTAATTGATATACTAGACCTAGTATTGTTATACAAGAAGGGAAGTAATGTGAGAAAGATTAACTAACTGGAAGTTCCCCCCTTTCATGTCATATTCTAATAAAACTTAAAAAAAAGATGGTATTGTTTTACTAGAAATAATATATATATGTATATATTATATACACAGTACACACACATATTTGTATAAAAGATTAAGCATATTTATTTAGGGTTGTCGCTGGACACGAACAAGTGACATCAATATAATATGGCGTATATTATATGATTTCTTATAAAATAAAATAAATTAATTTAATATAATACTATATTAACAAAAAATAATAACCCATAACTTTGTAGAATAAGACATTTTTTAAAAAGCCAATAAGTATAAAACAGCTATGAAAGGATTAGTGTACTCCAGCACTATACTATGAACAAGTCAAGAATTATTTGTTGATACATTTTAATGATTTTTTAATGCTAAGACTAATAATAAATTGTTCAAATGATTATTATAAATCGACAACGATAAATTTACCGACCAAGATTGGTGTCTACTCTAAAATGTCCATAGTTGACAGACATTGTGTAGTTAAAATATGAATAACGGGAGACTTATCGGTGTGAATAATTAACTCGTAAACAATATAAGTTTCCAATTTATAAATCCAACAAAATTACTAACTGTCATTCAAACCATTAAAGTATTGTTCTATCCTAAATTAATTTGAATTCGTATTTAAATAAACTCATAAAATTAAAATCTTACCATTGGATAAAATATTGTCACTTTAATTGATAGACAATTACAATTTTGAAATTTTAGGTTTACTCGGTTCATTATAAGAAAATCAAACATTTTAAATTATATGGTTTAAACAATAATTATACATTGTATGGTTTTGTGACAAGCTTATGTTGAACAATAATTGTTTGTATTTTTTAAATACTAATCTAGTTTACGCTATCCTATGATAAACAAACTCTATAGAGTATGATGTTTGTGGAATTAATGAACAATACGATTATAAAAAATACAAGCCTAACAAATAAGTAAATTAAAATTCATATTCTTCCGTGTATTGACCACGTGGCTATTGATCCGCCGAAGATATAATAGTGTTGAAATTATATTAGTATAGTCATTTGTGGTTATTAAAGAACATAGTCATTAGTCCAAATAACATGGCATTGAGACTGTAATTTTTTACCAGTATGACCTTTAACGTTAATATTATTTAAGAAAATATAAACTTTGTATGATCAATAATAACATAATAAATCATTTTCAATCGTCGACTGAAATGTTTGGTAGTTATGATTATTTTATCATGTATTTATAAACTAGTTCATCTTAGATAATCCTTATAACCGTTACATTTAATTTTCAAAGTAGTCGTGGGCTTCGGTATTCCTGATCATTATTTAGAATGACAAGATTTTCAACGCAAAACTACGTTTCTTGTTTAAAAATAGCCAAAGGAAAGCGTATTGAAATATTTTTCAAAATAAGTGTTTGCTTGGTACACGAGTGCTGAGTTTTATTATAAAAAACCAAAAGTGATAATAAAAAACAATTTAAAAATATGCTTATATTACGTTTTGTGACCATTATCGATTACAATATGTGCAGTATATGATGTGTGAATTTTTAATACCAAGATAAATTACAAAAGTTTTATGCATATCTGGATGTACATTGTTAGTGTAAGGGTGCGACAATAAGCTTAAACAAGTATAATCTATTGCACAGACTTTGAGTAATTGATTTCAAAAAAAAAAAAGGTTGTGTCATTGTAAAATGCAAACAATTGAAATTAATTCGTCGTCATTTGTGTGAAATAACAAATCATTGAACATTGTATAGTTTACAAAAATAACATAGGCCTAGGCTACCACCCAGTTAACAAAAAAAAAAAAGTCTTACGTATGAACAATATGTATATAGTAGTATTAACAGCAAGTATATAGTTTTAATAATATATATATAAAAAAAAAAAAAAGGAATTTGATTAAACAACATCTTGTTCACTTGTTAGCCGTTATCAGCTAATCAATAGACAATTGTTTGAAGGAACCTTCCATTCCAAAGAGGTCGTCGTGTGTCTTCGGCTTACCAGGACGCCTAGATTCGTCGGCTTTAATTTTTTCTTGTTCCTTAAACCAATCCCTGTATGTAACTAATTTTTCGTACCATTGCTCTGTTGATAAATTTGTATGATGTTAGACGTCGTGCATAATATATACATATAATATTATTGTTATGCATAATATGTCTTTAAAACTCACTGTTGATTTCGGCCATAGGTCCAGCGAGTCCACCGTACTCTTCTGGCATCATCTCCTTAGGTACAAATTTATTCAACGATTCCAACGATGAATGCACATGTATCTATACAAGAAACGAAAATATGTAATCAATTGCAATTAATTTTTAAAAATATTTAATAGAACCGTTCAACAATCACAGTTTAACAACTGTGCCTTGACTTACCCTGTTTCTAATTTTTTCTTTCAAAAACGGTTTTACAAAGTTAATTATAGTGTCGACCATGGGCGATACGTTTATCACGTGAACCTCCTTGAGTTTCACTGGGTACGCTTCCTAATAAAAGGTAGAAATACTTTAATATGCTATTATAATATGTTTTAAGACATTGACAACCGTTTGCCATACCTGTACGCAAATCAAGAATTTCTTGATCAAAGATGGTGTGAACTTGGCAAAATGAGTGGCAAAGTTTGCTGGTGTAGCTACACTTGCATCCAGCACATATACGTCACCGGCCACACCGATGTGTTCTTCCTTCAACCTGATATCCCCTATCATCAATACCACTTTCATACCGTCGGACACATTAGCTGACATTTGGTCCAAATCCATTCCGTTCATGATAATAACCCTACGTCCGTTTGGTGTCAATCCCGGAAGTGGTGGCACATTTCTACAATAATAAAATTCGTAATTGGATAATTTAGTAATTAGGTGTGTATTAAAATACTTTTAATAATAATAACGCTCTACTATCAATTAATCACGACTGCTAGTAATGGACAATTGACCCTTCAGCCATTTTTTTCCCTCCAACTTTATTACTAGATATTTACAATTATTTTTTAACATATTATTTGGAACAATTTTCTCATCATTTCGTTAAACAACATTGGAGTGTTTCCGATAACAGTTTTTTAACTTAAATTTATTTTTACCGATTTTATTAGAATTTATAGTTATTTTCAAACCATAAACTTATGACTTTTACATTTGTCTGATAATTTAACATTATTTATTTTGTGGATATTCATTTGAACAAACATCCGAGGTTCTTTCTAGACATCTACAATAGTAATTTAATATTTATAGCACCTTAAAAATTGAAATTAATAAAAATATAAAATAACCAATACATAGGGTCTAATGTTTTTACTTCTTTACAATACAAAATGTGATCCTGACAATCACAAATATCCAAGTTTTATTCATAACATTTTTTATGGTTATTATATTTGAGTATACTCCCTAAATTTACTATTCAATATTTCTACTTACATATTTAACAGTATATGATAATTATTGTTTTTAAATGATTCTATGTCGTTTATTATTACCATTTCATTTCAAAACTCAATGGTTTGTCATTTGTTTTTTTTTATGTATTTTAGTTATGCTTTATATGCTGTTATTGTTTTGTTATTCCTGCATGATTTTTTTGATTTTTTTTTTTGTCGCACAATATCAGAATTTTGTAAAACAGAATTATTAAAACTACCTATTGTGTAATCCAAAAAAAAGGAGCGTTCAATCCATATAAGACCTCTGTTAATTTATACTATATTTACGATGTCAGATTGATGTAATTTTACCAATTATTGCAGACTGTCGACCGTTATCGTTATTAAATAAAACATTTATCGAAAGGATTATGATTAATACTTACACAACTCGCATGACCTCCTTAATTTCCGGTAAGGTAGGGTCTCGGTTGCTGAAAAATTCAGGTACAGCAGCTCTCATTGTGAAGTACATATCTAATTTCCTCTTAGTTTTTTCCAGGGAAAACTTACATCCCCTGAGGAATGTCATAATACGAGCGTCATCTAAAATGTAAAACATGAAATATTAATTTCATTTCTATTGAAATACTGTGTATTCAAAACGTAGGTAGTTGTGTGACAACAGTGCCTCAAATAATAAATACAGTACAGTATAGTATATTGTACAATAATTATAATTATATATTTTAAATACTAGATGTCTGGATAAGCGAAAAAAACGGGAAAAGAGTCAGAATACAAAACAAAAATAAATGGTACAACTTGGAATTGGCATTTAGATAATGGTATGTAAAAATTATGTCTGGCCTTCCTTTAAATAATGAATTTATGGGTGAAGGCCTCCTTTACTATTTTGTAACAATTTATGTAATAAAATAATACTTTTTTTTGTCAATAATTTTGCACACTTATAACTATTTACCAAGGGTGGAATAATTATTTTCAATCAATATTTATTTGTTGAAGATTTACGAAATTTAGACCCAGTGATGACTGTTGGGTAATATTGCTCTCCCCCCCCCTTAATACCCTTCACATATTCGAAAATTAACCTTGTTCGAGAACAACCCACGATATAAATCAATAAAATCACGTTTTTCAAATTTTTTTTATTACATCGAGTAAAATTCTTGTGCTGTATTATTATAATTATTACTGTACCATTAAACTATTAGTTTGTTCTTTTTTATCGAGGTCATTAACGATTTCCAAATAATTGTATCATAAATGTTTTACAACTTCTAAGTAGTGATTAACCATAATATGCATTTGTACGCAGTACAATACGATTCGTTCGTTTTCGGTTTAACGCAACATTTACTTTCTACGGTTGTTGTTAACCGTCTAGCAACGCTGTACAGGACAATATGCTATACCATAGGTACGAACATTATTTTGCTTAAGTACCTACCTTGGAACTGCGGTAAGTGCGGTTGCATGCGCAACCATTCTTTGATGTGTTCCAAATCCTTTTCTCTGGTGGCCACGTCTTCGTTGAGCTCTGAACGAATGTGCAACTGCATCTCCGGCGTTGGTTGGACGAGAGTCATTTTGATTTCGGTTGTCGGCTACAAAAAGGCTTGGAACACAAAAAACAAAACGTATATTTTATTAAACAACACCAAATAGCGTTTATGCGAGAGTGTTGTTAGATGCATGTGCGGGACGACCGATACACTACGCGGCGGCAATCGGCTATCGTTTTCTGCCTTAGAAGAGAAAGTCTTTAATATCATAAGGAACTCGGTGGGCTCGCCGCCGTGTTATGTGCACGCGGACAATAATCTAGGTTGCATAACGACTACAAAAACTCGGTGGCGCACATATTATCATTATTGGGCAACGTCAAGACCAAAAAGTCCCCGGTCGACCTTCAGAACGGCGGTGATGTGTCGACCATAGGGTATTACCTCGGTCGGGTCGTCGAAATCATCTAAAAACAATGCCGCCGAGCTTTTACGACGTTTACATTGCTCTCATCATTCTTTTGTCAATTATTGGCCATAGCGACCTTGAAGACAATAATATTAAAACAAACATAATAATATAGCCAATGTCCTTCCGCGTAGGAGCCCACTCTGACGCGAAGAGGAGAGTACGAGTATGTTTGTCTTGGGACGTTTATGTTTTGTTTTAACGATGACCACAACAATAATTACATTAACAAGATGACGATGGTGGGCATTCGTCTTGAGTAGCAAAAAAGAACCGCGCGAGGACGTTGGATAAACATATTATATATTTATATATATATATATTAATAGCAGCGTCGGCGAACGCTCGTGACGGAAGAAGAACCGTCTTGTGTATATATTGGCAAAGCCCAAGGACGGGAATTACACACGTTTGATGTGGGCTAAAATCACAATCATCGTTCAATGTCGGGTTTGAACAAATCCGTTCACGCTTAGTATCATAATAATTGTAAGTCATAAACAGTAACAAATAATAGAAACGTCAAAATATGTACTTCCTGAAAAGAAACGACTCGCCGTTAAAAACAAAAAAAGCGGTAGCAATTCTTGCATCAGAAAATAAACTCAAATTCCTAAATCAAAAGACGGGTCATAATGCAAACTATATTATGTAGGTATAGTTACGATTATGAATGTTCAAAGCGAGTTCCGGAGCGTTAAAAAGGAAAAGTATAAAATGAGTCATACGCATCAACAGGTACCTACGTCTTATTCTGTAAAATACTGTACGCCGACTTTCATTTTTTTTTCAAATACAAAATACCACTTTATCACATCATTATTTGTAAAAAAAAAAAAAGAAACAATGTTGTAATACCTAAGAATAATGATTTTGTTCGTGCGGAGTACGGTCGTTTTGATTGCTTGCAATATATTTTTGTACATAATATAGTTTTATGAGTATAATTTATATTGACGCATCGTACTACATAAGTTAATGAAGCAATTGCCACGTATAGTGTTCTTGTCAACATTGCTTTGCCGATTATTAGTCTTAATAGTTAGTAGGAAAATGGCTATAAAAAGACCATTGCATCGATGGACGGTAGCTAAACGCTACCAGTTTTAACTTTCTTTCGAGCGAATTTTAAGAGATATATTGTCTTAAAGTGGTTTAAAAATTAAACAACCCATTTTCGGCATCTAAATAAATGTAAATATTACTAATCTAGTTCAGAAGATTTAGGTGTCAAAAAGCGAACAAGTAATTAAAAAAAAATCCTTAACTAAATGTTAAAAATAACTTAAATGCTTATGTTAAAAAATGTAATTCCATTCGATTATCGTTAAACTCTCAACAAAATAAAATTGATTGGTACATTTCTTTTGTGGGCAGTGGGGGATGCTACCAAAAATTTAACACAGTTTTACCAGTCAATAAACCTTCGTATCATCACTAATGTTCTGTGGTATGTTAGGAATCATGACTTACACTAGCACATTTAAATTTTAAAAATAACCAAACATATCTTACTAGACTCTTACTACTTCAAATAACTATACCCAGCAACCACTCCATTACGACTTATGTCATTCAGTCTACTGTCTAGTGTACACATAATACATGTAAAGCAAATGAACCTATAATGTAAAAATATGAAACAGTAACTAACTGTTTGTTAATAATATAACATGTCTAAAAACAAATATATCCAAGTTTGTTCATGATGATCTTGTATACATTTTAAGTACATAATAGAAATCGAAATTAGCCAAACAAACAAAAAGTTAATTTTTCAATATATTATACGTTCGATGAACGCGTAAGCCCGTTTGGGGATGAAATTTAATAAACATATTTTTATAAAGGCCGGGGGGAAGAAACGAGCGATTCTCCCATTTAAATACACTGGAAAATTGCTCTTTAGATGAAAAACTATATTATCAAGTTCAGAGGCGAATTTGAAGAATTCTCGTGTCGACTTTCCCCGAACAGACCGTAATCGTATTACGACCTCGATCCCGACACGTTTAAAATACAATATAAACAGTTTTTTACTGACACGGACGGTTCCGTTGGATTCCTTATTACATCCTTGCGTCATACTATAAGAAATGATGAAATACAAAATGTGGAACTCCCGAAGCAGCTCGGACCGTCACTCCAATCGCATGGACCGTGGTCAGAAATCCGAGCTCAACCTAAAACGCGACATACCTCCCCCAAAAGAAAATCCTTAAGAAATCCGGCAAAATGTTCAATGTGCCGTCACGTGATGCGTGTAGATGTGTTCGAAAATAAAAGCTGAACAGGAGATTATCAACTCTACTATTCTGGTAAAGAAACAAAGTCAAACGCAAGTCGAATAGTAGTTATCCACAACGGTGTCCGCCTTACTAGCTTGTAAAAAAAAAAAAAGCTATTCTACGCCAAATAAATGTTAAACTAATACAATAATATAATATCAATTGTCGAGTATTTACCTTTGTTTTGTTTTTAACGTGTAGGCCGCGATCCTGAGTTGTACTGTACAAGGTATGCCAATGTGCGCACCATGTGAGTTCAGCTCCGACGTTATGACGAACCGAAGATTAGGTAGGAGGCGACGAATCGCCTTTCACTTTTCTTGTGGGGACAACGCATCAGGATACGTAATGGAATATCGTGGCTTATTAACTATTGTATAATAAGGATTAGGCAATTGACGAAGACTATAGCCAAAATAATTCAATAGGAACCTCACAAACAATAATATAAAATATATATATATATATATATGTTTTTTTTGTATATGTATATGATGTTATAAAGGAACTAGGGCCACCGAAGGAGCGAGAATTCAGCAAGTTTCAAACACTTGTACACACGCTTATAAACTTGACACCAATACCATGGTGATTTGACCCACATTTGAAAAATAACATGTATAGTATTAGCTGATTGCCTTAAAGTAGTCAATGATTATAGTGTTATGTTGCACATTTCACGTCATAGTATTAGTTAGAGTTTATAAAAAAGCATAGTCAAAATTCTTTGATTTCTTAGACGTTGACCCTTTGAGTCACACATTCAGTTTTTTATTTTTTTAAATTATTTCTACAGTGGTTTCAATAAGATATTATTACAATTAACATTCGCCAAAAAAATTTTTAAAAAAAATGCGGTTTCAATATAATCACATAAACTTATTACAACAATTGAAAATTATTTTAGAAGACGCCGCGCCGCACTAAGTACATCCAGTGTAGAATTATGGTTAGGCACGGTTGGTCCTAAATATTATAGAAATGATGTTCCAAATAACTGCGTATAATTATCTATATATTATAACGTTGTCTTCTTGGAGTTATACACGTGTATTCCTTTTTGATCATTTTTTCGAGTAAGTTTTCGTTAAGCCAAAATTGTACACTTTGAATGTAGTAAATTGCTAGGTTGCTTTGTCACACAATCAACAGTCAAATTTTACGTGTAAGTGATAAAGATAAATATATTTCAAAGTATTGAAAATTATATATATATATATATATATATATATGTATATATATGTATATTTTGTATATAAAAAAATAATTTTCAAAATATTTATATTTTCCGAGAAAACGAGTGTCTTACATCAGATAGATCACCTGTATAATAATAATTCAAGCAAGAATTTTAGTATTTAACTTGGATGCAAAAAAATTAAAATTCGAAAACCCGGATAATCCGTCAAATCATAAACTGTTGGGGAATTTTATTTAACTATATAGGTGGAGGTGTTCAACTTTTACCCCCAAAGTACCCAACTCAAATAAAAACATATATATTTAATCAAGTTAAAGTTGAGTTGCTGATTGAGTAAAAATGTCTATAATAGAAATTCTGACCCACAATAAAAAATGTCACATAATTTTCACATCGAAGCTAAAATATTTGGCCTTGCAAAATATTTGCCAGTCACAACAGTGAAGTTGAACTAAGCGGAGTACAAAATTTCTAATTTTTTATTATTAATAATAATTGCTTTTTGTCTAGGATTAAATTCTCTTTTGAAGTAGCTTTTTTGTTGAGTTGTGTGCAAAAATGACTAGTAAAACGTTGATTGACATGGTAGCTATTTTTTATAATTTATATAAGTTACAACTTTAAAAATACACTTAAATTCAATTTTAAAAAAAACACACATGTTTGATAAAAACAAATGATTTACGCTAGCCTGTACGTACATATAGGTACATTATAGTATTATAATTATTTATTATTATTATTATTATTGTCAATATATCCATACAAACCGTTACAATTATGTACAAAATATTTGCATTTACTATTTTGTATTTTTTGCTGTTGTGTCTTTAAAAAAAACCAATTATAAAAACTAATAATTACAATGTGGTGTCCGACTGCTGTTTTGTTATTCGTCATTTATGCGATTATTATTTTTGGACGTGTCGACCGAGTTGAAATGTGCAATTGAATCAAAAAACTGATGTCGGCAAAAGTCCAGAAACACACAATAATATGTGTAAAAAGCCGGATTGTGCTCGTCTGTCCACGTGAGGTAGGCAAACAATTACCAAACTTCTCATAGAAATTTACATTTTCTTCAACGGCTTCTGCAAAAATTATAAAAATATAAAAACTGTACCCCGATGGGAACTGAATGTGTAAATAATTCTTAATGACACTTGCAAATAATAACAATTTTTTTTTGTAATAAGATATTTAATTATTAAATTGTTTAGCCGTGTTATTCAAATGCATTTAGCAGGTTATTAGAACCACAGCTGTCTTACCAA